ATGTATGTATGTACATATGTAACGTGTAAATAATGTAAATATGGGTTGACAACGGTTTAACTGATGTTCTGAAGGCATATACGTGTAGAAGGGAGGGGTTGAGGGGGGGTCGTGGTGTACTTTGGGGGCTCCGTGGGTCATTTTGGGTCAAAAATGTCGCATTTCACCCAATCACCAAAAACTCATCGGATATCGACGAAGCTCGACGCCGCGGTCACGCCCAAGGTTGTTTCACTTTCCAAATCGTTTTTTTTCGAAAGATATCGCAAAAAACAAGTTGTGAATGTTTGCCCGAACGGACCATAGAATATTGAATATTCTAGATCCCCCCTCTGGGTTTCTATTAGTCTACGGTCTCGCCACTATCTGAAGTGAGGTGAGATGAGCAAGCCCCATCCAAGGTGAACGTGAACACCGCGTGGGTTCATTGATTCCTCTACGGTGCATGCCTCTGAGACTGTTTTTTCGTTTGCTGTAGCTTGTGTCGAGGTCGGTGGCGGCTGCTCTTGCATTTTTGTCCTTGTGAGGCGATCGATCGATCAAGTTTCGGTGTAGATCATCTGCACCGTAGCTAGTCAGTCCTGTCAGTCCTGTCAGATGTCAGCGATCCGTGAGATGATCAAGCCATACAGTATCAATACCGTGTCAACGATGGCGCCGAGAAGGCGCGGAGAAAACGAACACAATAACAGGGAGCATCCTCTGTTTCGTTGTGGCCATGCACGAAGTCAGTCTCGAACCAATTCGTAGGGGATTTTCGATTCATGCAGAGCACGATTTTGGACTTGGATCGTGATTGGCTGCAGTCCAACAGCTTTGAAAAATACACGTGTGAGTTGTAGCGCTCTCTCTCTCTCCCTCTCTCTCTCTCCCTCTCTCTCTCGATGCAGACGTTGCTGCCTTGCTTCCCACTGATACCTAGTTTTTACAATGTTGGTCGCTGCAAATGTTAATCCTTTTGAAATCATGGACTGACGCTAGCCGTATGGATATTGATGACGTTGCTCCAGGTGCTCCTCTGGCAGCGGGAGAGGGAAATGGGCATCGCTTACGGTGGATCTGGAGCCATGGCATCGCTTCCGAAGGAGAGGAGAGGAAGAGAAGGCACGGGCTCATCGGATTGACTCCATTTTGTTCTTGTCTGGCCCCTTTTTCTTGCTCGAGTCGTCTCCGCCAGAAGAACGTTGCACAAGTTTAATTTGTCCCCCTGTATCTCTCTATCGTTTTGGCCGCATAAAATGCCTCTTTCATTGTTGACTTTTGGTGTTGAGGTTTTGTCGGTCTTGTGCATATCGTTGGTGGTGTGTTACGGTTAGAGTGGCAGTGAGGAAGGGATCAGCTCTTCATTTTATGATACAGCTGTTCCTTCGTTTTTCCATCGCCTTGATTTGCTTTTAGCGTGTTTTGTGTTCGTCAAAGGGCATCCTGAGCTGTATGACTGACACCGCCTGTGGCAAATTAATGCAGTACATGAATGTTCAAGTGTTTAGTAGATAAGGGTGATATCGCCGGTGGGGGAAAATCGAAAGCGTTGTTTTACAAACACGTGCCCTCCACCTGGAGACAAGCGAATAGAGCGTGTTGGTTTAATATTTCGTCGATGTCCATCTTTCACAACCTTGGTCAAAGACCAGTTCCACGGGTGTTGCAATCAATCATTGCACTTTCCAGTTCTCTTGTCTGTGCTTGGAGTTCAGAAACACACATCTTGTTAGTTTTTTCTTGCATGCCGCACAAGAAGGCCTCTGCTTCGAAGAGATGGGTTGGTATGGGGTGATGGTGAAGTTGAATATAGTGCCGCGCGTAGAGAAGCGGGTGTTACCGTCGCCGTCGCAGCTGGAGCTTGCTTCGCTGCTATATACTGCACTGGCATTGGCTTCTTCTTGTGAAGAGCCCTTTGAGGTACAAAGCAGCGCCGTGTAATGTCAGACGTGCGTCGTGTAGGCTGTAGGCTATGCTTGCGCGGTGTCTATCGCTAGAGCGGTGTCTTCTGATCCTGAAATAGTGCAATCGTGGCGCGTTGAGCATTCAACGAATTGGTCAAGTGTTGGAACGGCGGGTTGCATATTCTAATAGCCGTTGTTTTTGTTCACGTTCTCGTCTTTCGCGGGTGAGTCACTGGATGCAGACTGAGGATAATTTCCATGCTTGCGGTGAGACGGCGCGCCGTCCTTCAGCACGGTGTGCTTCAGTAGGAACGCGTCATCTTTTTCGGCTATAAGTGAGTGAAACATTTCCGTGCGAGTGGGCAGGGAACCCAAGGTCCTTCTTTACGCTGCCGTGGGGTCCGTTTTCCCTTGTTGCTCAGACCGTGTCTAGACCGTGTCGGGACACGCCACGCCACGGGATCGGGGTTTCGAGCCCCAGATGCGCAAGAAGAGCATATGTAACGATGTTTTTTTTTTCCTTCTCGCGGTCACGTTGTCGGTACAAGTATGAGGGCGCGATTTTCTGTTTCGTGTTGTGTCGTGCTGTATGCATACAATGTTGTGTTTCATGACCGGGGACGCGCGACTAAGGGAAAGCATTGTCGACGAGAAAACAAGAAACGGAGACCATCTCTTTCATCGTCTTGTTGGGTTGGTGCGTTGACGTAATCGTGCCTTGTTGTGTGTTTTTTCACGCTCTTGTCGACCGGGGGAAAGGGTCGAAAGCTTAACCTTGACCGAGCAATGGGGGTCTCGAGAGCATTGCAAGTCAGATCGCACATCATCGCCGATATTAGCTTTTGCGAAGCGGTATACTGCTGTTTTAGTTTCTTTAGATGTAGATGGCCCCCGTTGTCATACAAAGAAACCTCTCGTTTCCATCAAAAGGCTGTCTCTTGATATTGCCGTCATCATCATCGTATACGACGACACTTTCGAGTATTTCAAATGTCGGTGTGGTGATCCCTTTTGATCTTTAACGCACCCGGTTCTTAAACGTACAAGGAAGAGCTTCGGTTGTGCACGTGTCCCCTCCCGAGTGTAATACTTGTACACCGAAATCACCAGCCTACCCTACGCGTGCAGCGTAATACAGTTGCGTCCTCGCCACCAAAAGTATGTTACTGACGGCAAGATGAGCTATGTTGGAGAAATAGCGTTTTCCCTCAAGCTTGAATCGTGTCGCTAAGGGAGAGCTTGCGAAGCGATCACGCGAGGTATCAACTGCTCGCTCGGCCACACGAACAAAACGATAAGCACGGCATTTGCTTCGTTCTCCGTTTGCTCTAGTGTAGTGAAAGCTTCAAGATGCCCACCAATCGATCCCCCCCCACCCCCGTTGTTTCTGCGTGCGTGATGGTACAGTGCACGCGCAGCTGCAGATTGACGGACCGCCAGGTGCAGGGGGTGGATGGCCTTTCTTCACGTCTCCCGAGGTCGGGGAAACTGCCACCGCTGCTTCTCCTACTACTGCTGTTGCTGGTCCTCCTCCTACTGCTGCTGCTGCTGCTGCTACCACTGCTGCTAGCATGCAAGGGGGCTTGGCCGGTTGGATGATGATCTCGGCACCGTCAAGGACCGAATGGGCGGAAAACACGATGGGAGCAAAAGTGCCCGGTGAGAAGAAAGGACTGGTGACCCTGGTGGGAGTATTTGTTTCGATGCTGGGCAACGGTCATCGCCTTGCGTGCCTGTGTTTTCACGTAGTCAATTTGTGTCATCTACAGTGCTTTTTCGTTATATCCGAAGCTGAACGATGTTTCTCTGAAAGAGCTGTCACTACTTAATTTTTCTCTCCCTTCAAATGGGAATTTCCCCCTCAAGTAGACGGTTTTGCTGTGCAGCCCCCGTTGTAAAGAGGAGGAACACGCGTGTCGTTGTTCACACTCGCATCAAACCACCGTTGGCCGGCAGTCCCAAGCTCAAGAGCGAAAGAAAGGGTCTCTTTAGGCTCCATCGACTCCTCGCCCAAGAATCCCAGGCGCGAAATTGCGATGGCGAATCATGGGAAGGCCCTTCGGGCGGCATTCGTGGCCATGGCCAACGCAAGGCAAAAGAAGGGTGGGTGGGTCATGCAGTGATGAGTGACGAGCGACTAGCAAGCGGGCCGTGTCATGTTTTGGTGAAGGGCGTGCTGGAACGAATGTCCGCGTTATGAAGATGCCGACTCTGTTCAATGGTCGGTTGGACGAGACACTTCTTACATGACGCGGAAGTAGACGTAACCTCAGTGCACAATAATACTCCTCTGTTGTTGTCCTGGCGCACAGGGTACTTACTTACTTGGGGGGTGTTTTCCCCTCGATGTGTCACAGTTTTGGTATGCTGCAAAATTCTGGACACGATACCGTGAAGAAGACACCCTTTCGCTCGCGCTCTATTTGCATTGAATTGTGCGGCAGAGCGGACAACGTATTCGCCGACACGAATCCCCTCGCAGGGGTCATCGGCACTCTCACCAGCGTCAAAACCGCGAGCAGCATCAGCATCAACAAAGTCTTCGTCACTGCCAGCCCGTTCGGGTTTGTCCGCCAAGGACAGGATGAAGGCTAAGGTTGCCTCAGCTCTTCAACAGGTACCGCCCAACAACATCGGTAACTTCACCAAAGGTGCCGGGGCCCAGCCCACGCCCCCGACAAAGCCGGCTGCTTCCTTCTCCAAGTCCAACCCAACCAATTGGCCCGCAGGCGCTGGGAGAGGAAAGGTGACGTCTTCGCGACAGTTTCTGCCCCAAAATATGCGTGCGAATGTCAGTACTACGGCAGAAGGCCCCTTGCGTTATGCTCCGGCGTGTCCTGACTTAATGGTGTCCGTGTGTGTGTACAAACTCAAACTTGGCTTGAAGTGAACGTTGGTACGAGCGCTGAAGTCGCTACGATGGCTCTGTTTCTACCCGTATGCGCAGGAGACTCGACAAAACGGGGGCAATCGCAGAACTGCCTCTCCAGCATTTTCATCTAGCTAGGTTGACGTGCCTGCTGAGAACGCCGATGTCATGGTGTCAACGAGAAAAATTCAGTTTGCTTGCTTCCGGTTCTCGGAAGGGGTTCGATTTTCCAATGGCGGTGACGTTCATAGACGTTTTGATGCCATTGGTCCTCAGTGCGACGACGTACGCGCGTCACGGTGAGTCTCCGTAAGACCTCCTTCCTCCTTTGATTCGCCTTTCTACGCTTGCCTTGCTTCGCCTTGCTTCGCGGGGGTCGTCTGGGCCAGGCGGCCGCGTTTGTATCGAGTGTCATCGGGGGCGTGGCGGCGACAAGCTGGTTCCTCTTCTGCGCGGGGCCTTCTTCAGCGGCAAGCAGCACACGGTCCTCGTCGGCGAGTCAAGAGGGGGATCGGTGGTCCAATCCTTTCGGCGACTTGCAGCTCAACGCCGCCGCCGCCGCCGCCGCCGCCGCCACCGCCCCCCACCCATCTTGGTCCACATCGAGCCGTGTCGTCAACGGAGATCGTGATGGTGGTGGCAGCGGCTGGTCGAGCAAGGCGGACGGTGTAGGAGTAGAGGGGAGAGGAAAAACTAACGAGGGTGAAGAGGTGGAGCAAGGTGGTGCTGGTGGCGTGGGTGAGAACGGTGGGGCGGGCGACGAGGGTGAATATGAGGCTGGAGTCTGGGTAGGATGGGGTGGGGGGTGCGCTTTCTGAACGCCTGCATCAACTCTATGCCTCCCGCGTGTGAACTGTACTTGTAGACACCGTTACTTGAATATTGGTTAATCTATATTAATGTATCTGGACTGCGTTTTTTTGCTCATCTATTTCTTTGTACCTGGACTGCAGTTGTGCTTATCTATACGTATTATTGTATCTGGATTGCGGTTTTGGTTGTTGCTTTTGGTGTTGTGTGAAGTATTGGGCACTGCTGCTCACGTGTAGCCACCCGTGCTTTCTCCCTGTGCGTAAACAGTGCTATACTGTAGGTACTGTGTGCAACTGTTACATTTCCCAACAGAGAACGCTGTGTCGAAATTCGGGACTGAGCCATGGACCAGAGCTTTTAATTTTCTGTTCTTTGTCTGTGATGTATCATATTTATAGTATAGGAGAGCTGTTCTGGTATGAAATAAGAGAGGCATGTGCTACCGTGGACCTACGCCAGGCGACAAGCCGCCACGTGTGCCTCATTTTGGCGGGAAATGGCTGAACGTAGTGTAGACTAGAAACAGCGGCATCCTCAGCAGTAGGGAAGGTCGACGTGCCTCGGAAAGGCCAGTTCAGTTCCAAGGAAACAGGTTAAGAAGTCCTTCCTTGAGGTTGCGGTATAAGATAGCGACGCGGGAGGGTTTCAGTAGTCAGTGTTTTGTGCCCTGACGGCCATTGGTCACAGATCCTTTTACAGATGAAGAACGTTCCCAACTTGCAGATTCGGCAAAGGCACCACCATTATTCGCGAGGATTATTTCCCGTGTCGCGCTGTGTCCACTTGCAACGTCTAGCTAGTCAATTGGGCGATCTCCTTCCTTACCCGCCAATGCTGCGACGCCGTATTTCTCCTACGTAGGAAAGCGACGGGGTTGGTTCCGAGCTCCGGCCACATGTGTGATAGCGGCGTTTCGACGAGCCTAATGTCACCCGGGGGGGATTCTCACGTGTGTGATTCGGGAAGGGAAGGGGGGGGGGTGCACTCATAGCCATGCATGCTGTAGTCGTTTGACCGTTGACTTCGCAGGAGGGGGGAGGGGAGAGGTGGGAGGGGTTGCTCGCTGTCCCACAAGCATGTCTTGCGCTATCCTTCAACAATTGGCAAACGATGGGATTGGTCAAGCTGACACACGTTGGCGGTCTGTACTCGTCATGTGCGTAATTCTAGGGTCACCACACGGTAGGACATTTCTCCACCGTGAGGACTACGTAACACTTGCCCCCTATCGGCTTGTATCGCGTAGTCGGAATGATCAATGCTGTGATGTCTCTCGTACTTCCTTTACCTGTGGGGTTCAGCACCACGCGGAGTACCGCTCTGCGCGGGGAAGTTTGAGGGGGATTAGCAAACGGTGAGATCAGTGTCCATTTGCGTGCGTGGCTTGTGTTTTAAGGGGTCGCTTGGAGCGAATGGTACATTCTGCATGGCTTGCGTGAGAGTCCCCTGAATCGTGAGAACCTCCTTCAGCGACCAGGCTCGGGTTGTCGAGACCGCAATGGGCCAGATTCCAGCACAACAGTGATATAAACCGCAGCCGTGCGCGTTTCACGGCAAGATCGACGGCACCACCACTTGCGGCGGGTCACAAGTTGTCGCCGGCCGGTTCTGACATGTCGCTCGCACGTGTTCGCGGTGCTGCGATGCGGCGAGCCATCTGTAGATAGAAGTTGTAGTAGCTAAACTGGGTTCGGTGAGCTGCACTTTTTCTAATATGTCACCGTGGAGATAAAGCACGTTCAGCACACCAACCCCTCCTAACCTCGTGCGTCGATGGCAGAACGAATGCCCAACAAAACACACGCCGCACGCCGACATGCTCTGCTTTGCTTTGCTTCCACCTCAAGGATAAATCCTTCTACACTAATGCTGTGGCGAAGTGTATGGCCGAAGACCACCACGGGCCTCCAACCTCGTGACCAACTTCAGCCAACACTTCGCTGTTGCAAATCACACGATTCGGCCTTTCACAACACGAACTGATTGACGCTGCCCGTGCCAGGTAAGCCTCCATGTCTTGTGCGAACGCTCAGACAGACGAGCCATTGTAGCGCGAACGCCCTCGAGTTCGTGCCCTCCTCCCTCCCCCCCCCGAAAAGAATGCCATCCAAGTAGGAGCAACCTTGTGGTTGCCCCCAGCGGGAGGTTTGAGCAATCACGAGAGCCGATATCCGCAACAAGTTCAGGAACCGCCACGCAAACTGCTTCGCTCCCCCAAGGGGCAATAGCCCAAAGGGATACGAGGAATGGAATCGATGCGCTTTGGTTCACATGTTGACTTAGCGGTGTAGCGGTCACTTACTCCGTCCAACAGACCAACAGAGCGGTACACACACAACCGGCGAACCATGACATCGATCACAACCCAGGGAAGACACGCAATATATACGATGCATCAGTTACTCTGGTGTCTTGTGACCAAAACGAAGTTTCAAACCGTCCCACATGTGCTCGACGCGCCATGTTGCATATTCAAAACACTCCCCGCCGGATTCCTTTCTGAGCAAACTACATGAAACACCTCCCCGGATTCCGCTCTGAGCAAACTACATGAAACCTACGCGTGCAAGTATGTACATGAAAACAACGCTGCTGCGCTGCACCCTCGACACGAGTTCAGCGCGTGCCGCTGTCGTATTGTATACAAGGGGACATGCACATCAGTGTCCCCAAACCATAATGTACATCGCCCCCAGAAATTTCCAATGTCAGACCAGCTCGAAGCACACGCTAGCGCCAAGGGGTCTCCTTGGATCCAAGCACCCCTCCAAGTCTGCACGAAGCACAACGCCGCGTGGAACTTTGGTTTGCATATGCGGCAGCAACTTGGCAACATTTCATGTCAACCCATTCCGGGGAAGCAGGTTCCTTGCGAGGCTGCTACGAATGAAATAATGAAATGAACACTTGAGTGCCCCCTTCCATGTTCCATGTGTTCATTTGTTCTTTCATTCCCAGCATCTTGCCTTCTCCATCATGGTCGTGATCGACTGCCGAACATGAAACAGCCTGTCTATCCTCTCACTAATCAGAAACGCAGTCCAGGCAGATGACCTCTCGGTGATTGTTTTGACGTAGCCCTCGCCTACCGTGAGTGCCTATCACTCCCCCCGCGCCCTGTGGTCAAAACGTCGAAGGGCATGTAAGAGATCAGAAAAAAAAACAGGCCACATGATGATTGAGCAAGATATCGAAAGGGAAAGCTTCAACACCGGTGACGGGTGATATCAAGGCCAACCATGCAAAATGATATTGGAACACGCCGCAAACCTTGTATCCTAGCGTAAACCATGGTACTCAAACGTGTTCCACAGGGAAGAAACGTCAAGCGAAGTCGTGCCTCGCGCCAAAAAAACGACGCCGTATTGTACCATATGGCAGCAATAAGCCCTACCACAGCGGAAAGGGATAGAATTTGGGCCGCTTGGGAAATTCGATAGTATAGGTGAAGTGATGGCTGGGTGCTCTCGTTCGAAATAACTGTTCGCAACGGCAGGCGCGTTGTCGTCCATCATTCAATGCCGAGTGTCTGAAGTACTTGGCATACATTGAGTGCACGATGGCCAACACCCAACAAATATCTCTGGTACACTTGACACGCCCTTGAAAGATGCGGAACAACTAAAACAGCACTGTTGAAGCAGCACTCACCGCCGGCGCACTCTCACGCTGGTTGATACCACCGCCGACCTTGACGAGGTCGCGAAGAGGCATCGAAGTCGAAGAGGGTGACGATGCGCGGGTGGCACGGGGCGGTGGAGGCAAAGGTTGTGCTACGTCCAATGGCGTTGTACGACATGGGCCGTGGCCTCTCGCCCGCGACTGATCCCCTCCGCCGTGCGTTCGCGCACCGCCTCCACCGCCGGTAGCCGCATCCTGGGACTGTTGTCGTTGTCGTTGTCGTCGTGCCGGTGCCTGCTCCATATCCTGCTGCATATCCTGCTGCATGCGCATGATCCAACGAGTTCTCTGCGCTTCCCTCGCGTCGCCACCATGAGCTTCCAGCAGGTTCTGGTCAGTCCCTTGCCGAAGGGTGCGCTCGGCCCGTCGCCTGTCCGCAGCAACAGCCACCTTGCGACCACGAGCCCCAGTGCCATTGAGCGAGCTGACTGCTCTTCCCGCAGTGCCGCGACCGCCTGTGCCCCCCCCTCCGCCCCCTAGTGTTTGCCCCCTTCTTCCTGCAGATGAGTTTGGCGTGGTGGAGCTACTTCCGTCATGGGCAAACTCCAACTGATGCTGGTATTCGTGCTGAGAGAGAAAGAGAGAAACACATAGACAGACAAGACAGACAGACAGACAGACAGACAGACAAGCAGAGGCAGGAAGATACAGACAAACAGCGAAGTCAGCAAGTTCAAGTTCACGTGGATACGTATAGTGAAGGAAGAAGGTACAAAAGTCGCTCTAAGCGACAGAGGCAGATCGATGTAACCGTCAAGCAGCTCGGCCTGTTGTATGGACCCACGATTCGGGCGTATCCCGAATTCGGTTTTTGGTTGGATTTTTTTGCGGCACTCTCCTCCCACGCTCTCAAAACTACAACTGGTCCTATTCGTATGGCATCTTCAACGCGAGGGAGACGAGTCCTGAGTACGGACTGTGCACAGTATACAACACCTCAAAGGGCTAGCAATCGAACATGACTGGTTTAGGAAAGCACAAGTACTTACACACCGGTAGTGCCGCACGCGTGCATGCTGAGGTTGGTGCGACAGGCAAGATCAGCGGCTAGTGTTCCAGACGAAACTTACAAACAAGCAACTGGCTCCAGGACAGATCGTTGGATCTACAGGAGTACCTCTGGCGTGACAGCGCTACTAAGGAGTATCAGTGCTTGTGTGTTGCAGGCGTGTCAAACGAAGGGTGTTTGTGGCAGTATTCTGAGGTGTGCTTGAGATCGGGACCTCGAACGCAGGAAAGGAAACATATTGCCCTCTCAAGGAGTTCCCTCGTTTACGAGAGCCATCGTCAAGGCGCGTAAGCTTACTGCTATAGAGACACCGCCAGTCCCTGGGCAAAACCGCCGAAGCCAACAGCAGTATGCAAACTACACACATAAACACCGAAATGGTACGCACAACGGCTTACCACCGCCGTACGTAGTAGGTGCAGATTTGCGCCAGGTGTTTGTGTTGTGTTTTCGTCTCATCCACTCTGACGCTACCAGATTCCACCTTTCGGTGTATGTTTGAGGTACAGAACGGGCCCGCAATGAAGAAAAAAATGTTTTGAAAAATAAGCTCAAATGTTTGCGAAAAATAAGAAAAAAGGGCTAAGAAACTCAGCTCAATCTCGGCCACGACAGAAGAAACGTCCCAAGAAGAAACATGATCGTGCGATACCCCGAGACCAAAGAAACAACGGATAGCTGAGGAAGCGTGTCCAATGAGAAACCTCCCATCGTGCTGCCAGCTCCCACCACTACCTATGCTAGCTCATCATGTAATTTTTTGGTAGAGGGGGAGAGTGGTTATTTTCGGGTCTCCCCCCGGCACCCCGCGCCACCCCCCCCGGTGTTTGCCATCGGGGTTGGGTTTTCGTCGCTTGGCAACGACGTTGTAAAACAAGCCGTCCCCCTCGGT